AAGCCTTTACCACACTCATTGCATATGTAGGGCTTCTCTCCTGTATGAGTGCGCCTATGTACACTGAGATGACTCTTTTCTGTAAAGCCTTTGCCACATTCGCTGCATATATAGGGTTTCTCTCCTGTATGAGTCCGCTGGTGTCCAATCAGCCGGATCTTTGCTGGGAAGCCTTTGCCACATTCGCTGCACACATAGGGTTTCTCTCCTGTATGAGTTCGCTGATGCACAATTAGGCGGCTTTTCACAGTGAAGCCTTTTCCACAGTCACTGCGTATGTAGGATTTCTCAGCAGTGTGAGTTCGCTGATGCACAATGAGATCACTTTTCATGGTGAAGCCTTTCCCACATACAGCGCACACATAGGGCTTCTCTCCTGTATGTGTTCGTTGATGTCTGATCAGAGGGCTCTTCAAGGTGAAGCCTTTTCCACACTCACTGCAAGTATAGGGTTTCTCTCCAGTATGAGTCCGCTGATGTATGATAAGACAGTGCTTCACTGAAAAGGCTTTTCCACATTCATTGCATGTATACAGTTTCTCTTCTGTATGAGTTTGCTGATGTGTAATAAGACTATTCTTCAGGGTGAAACCTTTCCCACATTGATTGCATATAAAGGGTTTCTCACCAGTATGAGTTCGATGATGTGCAGTAAGACGCCTCTTTTCAATGAAGCCTTTTCCACATTGGCTGCATGTATAAGGTTTTTCTCCTGTATGAGTTTTCTGATGTGTATTGAGACTAAACTTTGTAGAGAAGGCTTTCCCACATAGACTGCATCCATGGGGTTTCTCTCCTGTATGAGTTCGTTGATGATAAATGAGCCGACAATTTTTGATGAATGCTTTCCCACATTCACTACATGTGTAAGGTTTCTCTCCCATATGAGTTTTCTTATGTATATTGAACTGCGATTTCTTGAGGAAGGCTTTGTCACATTTAGGACATTCATAATGTTTCAGCCCTGTGTGAACTCGCTTATGTTCAGTTAGCCTGGATTTTCTGGAGAAGGCTTTCCCACACATACTGCATCCATGAGGTTTCTCTCTAGTATGAACTCTGTGATGATCAGTGAACTGAGAAATCTTGATGAAGGCTTTCCCACTTTTGCAGCATGTATAGGCTTTCTCTATGTTGTGAGTTCCCTGTTGCTTAGTAACCTGGGATGTATTGTGTTTTGCACTTACAGAGCATTTAATTTCAGTATAAAACTGTTCATGGTTAGCATGGAGAAGAGGTTTCCCATGTCCATGAAATTCAGCAGACTTCTCTAAGTTACAGCTTCTGTTCTGGTTTTCAAAACTTAAATCTGATTTCAAAGGTTTTTCACATGAGTCAAGCATATCACAATTTTGCTTTAAATGGAAATGACTTTTGCTGTGATTAACAATATTTGCAAACATATATTCACAGCATTTTTCCACACTCTTCTGCATGCTTTGATTTTGCAAGTGACATTGCAGAGGATCACCAAATTTCCTCATTTCTAGGAAAGAAGAGGATAATGAATCATTCTATAATCTGTCATAATCTTAGTTTGGAACAAAACTGTTTTTGAAAATGCCTTCATGTGAAGTAACTATTTAGTAATAATCCTGTGTTTGGTATAATAAAGAATATATTTGTTCTTCATCCATAGTTCTTGGCACAGAGCTAAAACCCTTTTAATTTCCTAAGTGATAAGAGAATCTTTTGTTACTCAAAACAGGCCCTTTCAGTCACACCTGAGTTTATGCCAATCATGACTTAGCTCTGGGTTCCTAACACAGCCTCAAGATAGGGCTGGTCACCAGAAAGACCGAGTGACTAGAAGGTTAGAACTTTCAGTCCCACCCACCAACCTCTGGGAAAGAAGATATATATATATGTGTGTG